AAAATTCAATAATATTTAATTTTCCATACAAAATGGCACAGCATTTGCATATAATCTATGTACAAGCTCATTTATAATTTGAATCATTTCTAAATTGTTAAAAACACCAAATATGATACTAATTCTATGTTAATAATTATTATATTGCATGCTTAGGGACTAGTCAGAAGAAAAATAGGATGCACGTGTTCTGAAAAAAACTCATTTGGGTTATAGACATGAACCCACCTCCCAACCTTACTCATGCTAGCTACCACAGAACATAATACTCTATCCTTTCAAACCTATTTTGATCCATAGCTAGTTGAAGATATAGTTGTGGAACCTTTTAAGAGAGTGCTGGGAACATGCTAAATTCCATAAGGAAAACCTCCATTTTCTTAGGCCTTGCTTAAAAATTTGCCATTCAGATGGTTTCTGTGGTTGCTATCCCTCATTCAGACTTCTCTGTCTTTGTTTACTTTTTTCTGTAGAACTTATCATGTAATAATTATGTATTTTATTTATTTGTTCTGTGAATCAGTGAAACAAATCCATTATATTATAAACTCTGTTTTAGTAGGAATTTTTTCTGTATATTTTAGTAATTTGGTTTCTGAAACCTGCTGTTGGGCCTGTAGCACAGCATTCGGTACATATTTGTAGGATGCGTGTCTAAATAAATGAAACATAGAGGCTGCTCAGATGCCAACTGTATCATACTGCTAGGGAGAAGCATAAATCAGCAGACTCCTCTAGGGAGTCTTCTAGAGCTCATACATCTTACCTCATTAGAGGTCTTCAAATAAATACCTCAAGTAAGTAAGTAGATGGTATAACACAGATGTCATTATATTCCAGTCCTTAATGTCAGAACTAGTTCAGGAATTCTAACTTATTCAGGAAAATGGGCTTTTAACTTAGGGATATAGATTATGAGCAGACATTCTTTGTGTAATTAAATTTAAGTTTTTAGTAAACATGAATTATTTTATTACATGAATATCATTATTTAAGATCATTTAAATATATAAACTATTTTCCAACAAACTTGTCTGCATTTGTTCAAAATGCTTTTTTTCCTCTAATAAAATATACATCCTAACCAATATTCTTGAAGTAATGTATCTGACATTTTCAATAGGACAAAATTCTAGAAATAAGATTTGTATTATATTTGGAAAAAATGATGATGAAGTGGTTTAGCAAGTATTGTGCTGACTGAAACAACTCCTATCCATTTCATAGCCAAAAGTAATTATGGATAATATGGTAGAGTTGTCATTTAGGTACAATATAAACTAATAAACAGTAAATGTGCCACTTACCTACTTAGGTATTCTTATACTTTTATTTTCTCAATTATTAAAGAACAAATTAAATTGATCTTAGGTCAGTCATGAAAAATGGGATTGATTTACTCACTAAAAATTGCAAAACAACCAAGACTATACAATTTCTCTGATTCAATAGAGAAAACAACAATTTTGATAAAGTTATACTTTTTAATCTGAGCTTTATCTTTTCTCTGTATGTACGTATGGTTTGTGTTATCACACTAATAGGTTTGTGCTTTATCACACTGATAGATTGGGAGGAAACACAACATCAAAAGACATAAGGACACTCTTTTGGATTTCTTCTCAACCTCTGTACAGTTCTCAGACGTCCTGATGTGAATAATCTCCTCATGTTCACAAGGACTTTCCTGGCATTAACACCATTCATATGACTCAAAAGTTTCAGTAGTTTAGCAACATAGCCTAGAAAGTAATCAAGATTGTGTTTGAACTCATATGTTAAGACACAGGAAAAGCTAAAGGAAACCAAGATATGAATGAAGCTACAGATATAAAAACACTAGCAGATCATTATCACCATCTGCCTCTCCCATTTGGTAAATGAGATATTGTACATAAGCTAGCATAGTGCTTAGTACATAGCAGTAACTGATTGACTTTTGTTAGAGCTTTAGTTTAGATTGTCCTAACAGAATACTATAGATTGAATGAATTAAGTAAAAATATTTATTTCTCTACAATCAAGAAGCTGAGAAGTCCAAGACAAAGGTGCTTGCAGAGTCATTGTCTGAAGAAAGCTCTCTCTCTTTCTGATTAGCAGATTGCTACCTTCTATGTCATCACATAGTGAAAGAAAGCTTGTGTCTTCTCTCTCTCCCTCATTCTCCTCCGCCTCTTTTAAAAATATAGTGACATTAATCCCATTATTAGAATCTCAATTTGTCATCAAAACTAAATTTTTCACTTCTCAAAGGTTCTACCATCAAACATCACATTGATGATTAGAATTTTGAAACAAGAATTTTGAGAGGATTCAAACATTTTTTATCCATAGCATTTAAGTTTCACACACACACACACACACACACACACACACACACACACGAACACACACACACGTACACACACACAAATACAATTATTCCACACTTCCACTGTTCTTAAGGATAGAATAAAAACCGATAAAAGTTTTAGTGGTGGACACATATGACAAATTTATAGCAAAATGAAATGAATTCTTTCAAGAAATATGATGAGTTGGGATGATGTAGAAATACATCAACAAGTGAAAAGAAAATAAAACTTATATGACATTGGAAAGTTTCTTCTGTTTTAGGCATATAGCCTAGCACATAAAAGTCCCACTTAAAATTTGTTGCTTTTTGCCTGAAAAATGGAAGAAAGATACATCCCACTAACCCTTATATATTTGCACAATATGGCTTACTCATAATAAAATAACAACTCACAGAAATTCTAAAACAAAACACATTTGAAATACATGATCAGGCAAACCAAAACAGTTTAAACCTTTAACAAAAAAGAAATATGCTTGAAAACAAATAATTATAAAACATATGTGAAAATTCAAAAGAAGTGATTTGGAGATGACTAATTTTTTTATCTGTTCCAAGTCTCATAATATTTTTCTGCTTATAAAACATTTATTGAGGAGTACATTTTTAGAAGGTAGCTAGTTTTAGTTACTGAAAAATTGTCAAAGCATTTATATTTTATAAAGTGATGAAAAACATGGAATTGGAGATACCTAGTCAATCTAAAATTCTGCAATTTCCAATACTGTAACTTGTACATATTTTAGGTTGCAAATATAAAACCATTTGGTCACAAATTATAATTTTAATAACTATTAGCATTATATTAATTTCACTACTGCATTCTAAAAGTAAAAAAAGAAAAAAAGACATTTCCTTCAAAGAAATTCATATGGAGAACCATATTGCTGCCTTGGGTGACAGCCATACCTCAGCTTAACAACCCAATGCCCTCCAAAAAAATTAATCAGTATTTTTTGTTACCAAGAAGCTCTGTGCTACAGGCTGATATATTGGAAGAAGTATATAATTTGAACTAAAGATGTGAATGTAGATTTAGATCATGAAATGGATGAAGTTCTGGCTCAAATAAGGAGGTAGGACTTTAGCCTCAATGACAGGTAAATTCATTTAATGATGATTTTAATATTTCCCATCATTTTACAATTGTTTGAATAGAACATATTTTTAATTGAAATTAGAGGTTTTTTCCCTGATATAACTATCATTATATAAACATAACTCAATATTTTTTTCTTATTTTGTGTCAAAATAGCTTAAAAACAGCTTTGTCTATGATATATGAGTTGTGTTTGTTTGTATTTATATGACTATAGTTTTTATTTCTAAATAATCTTTAGTATTCTCTAGTTAGACTTTCCTGTTCAGAGGTGATTTGAAATAAGACTCAATTTTGATGCTGAGACACAATACCAGTATCATTATTATTTTATATCTCCTGATTCTACATCCCTGGACTAATCCAAACATTTGGGTTTGAAAACTTACTTTGCTGTTGATATGTACTAAGAAGTTAGGCCTGTGAGAGTTGCATCTGTAATGAATACATTTTTATCATTATTTCCTAAACAATATGATATAATAACTATGCACATTATATTTTTACATAATATTTGATATTTTAAGAAATATAGAAATTATTAAAATTATTTTATTAAAAATTAAAAGAAATAAAGAGATTAAGATAAAAGAGAACATAACAACATAATAACACAGGTCAGAACAGAACAATTTTAGCAAACATAGTGTTTCACCACAAGATAGCCCAACATAACAGTAGCAACCATAGTGTCTCTTTCCTTGAAATATTTGAGTATAACTTTGTATGTTATATCATCAAACACAACATGACAGTGTAAAACCATTCAAGAGAATGAAAGTATTACAGGGTATCTAAAACCAAACACAGAAAATGAACAATGATTTCTATAATATCTCCTTATCTATAAAAATTTTGTTTATACTATCACATATAATAAAATCCAATAAGATAACAACATGATAAACAGATGGAGACAGAAGAACAAAAGCTTCATGGGACTAAAAATAAGATGATATTATATCACCACTAGCTATTATATTGTCTTGTTTTCTTCAAAATAACTGTTCATACCATCACAGACAATAAAATCAAACAACCCAGAATAGAACCATTCCAATTAATGAAAACACTATAAGCAATATAATGGGGAATCATGTTTACCACATACTTTTATGTATTCTTACCATTTCTTACACTAGGGAAACTATTTGGTATTTATACATGTGAGTTTGATTTATTTAGCTTATGAATATGGTCTCAAGCTGCACCCATTTATTTATAAATATCTCAATGTGATCATTCTTTATAGCTGAGTAGTACTCCAAAATTATTTAAATTTTATGCAAAGATTTTTCTAGGTAATATTCAAACACTATGCCATTTTAGGTAAGGTATTTGCATATCTTCAACTTCAGCTATCCTTCTAGGGGATGGTAATATTCTGGAAACCAGTTCTTACAGAGACTGAGAGACGGCTATGTAGTTATTTTATCCTATAAATATAAAAAAAAATATGAAGAGCCTTGTGGTGAATTGAAAACTGGCGGTCAACTTAAAACCAGTTAAACTGAATCAGCATGGTGCTGACTGTTAATGGCTCACCTGAGGATTGTTGCCAAGATAAAAAGGAGAACTGGAGAGGAAGAGTTTATTGTTTAGTGTTGTTGGTTCTCCTTTTGCTGTGGCTTCTCCTGGAGGAGCTAGTCGAGCTTCTTTCCAGAAATGAACTTGGCTGTTCTCATCATCAGAGGAGCTTTGGACCTTGTTGTTGCTGAGAATGGCTGCAGTTCACTTTGGGGAAGCTTTGGTCTTACTGATTCTGGACTCTGGAGGGGAAAATAGTGTGCTGTTCAATCTCCTGAAAAAGTTCATCATGCTAGCTTCCTGATATGAACTCGGCTGGCCTTACATATCAGAGGAGCTAGGGACCTCACTGTCACTGAGGATGTTTGTGGTACTTTTCAGGGGAGCTCTGGTTCTTACTTTGAACATAGCTTTCTGGCTCCAGTGCAGACGCCTCAGCCTACTGGCACAGATCCTTTTTTCTGCTGGCACAGACTTTCTAGCTTCCACTGCTGCCCTTGGGGTCTTCCTAGAGAAGATTCGTGAAACAAAATTTGCATGAGTCACTGCTGTGAGCTCCAGGCACCAGTTGGGTTCCTGGGAGGAACTATCACGGACTCTAGGTCCCCAGCTGAACTTATGCAGGATATTGCCATGGATCCAGGCCCTCAGCTGGATTCTCTAGGTCTTTAGTGTGTGAACATATTTCCCGCACTTTCTGTGTATTTGACTTCTTGTGTGACCACTATAAATAATACTGTAGCTTATGTGTCTTGTATGCAATTGTTTTCTTGCAAACCCTTGACTAAAACAAACGTCAATCAAGCTAGTCTTTAATTTCACATTTTTTGAAGGATGCTATGGTTTCATAGTTTGTTACAAGTTCTCCCTGATATCAAATATATAATTCTATTAATATTTATCATTTTGCTCAACAGCTGCATTATTTTAGAGTATTCTTACTGATGCATAACTGGTGGTATATAGTAAGATAAGTATGATATTATCTTCTTATGAATAAACATATAACCTAAAAAGGAGCACAGAAATCATAAAACAAATGAGTAAAATATAAAACAGAAAGGAATGACAACAAAAGTATGTACAAGTGTTACATAAGTTAAAAAGTTGGAGTTATTTTCTAAGAATCAAGCCATATATCTTTTAATTAATATTTAAAAGATGGCAGATAATCAGATCACAAATGTTCTTTTTCAGTTTAAACAGGTATGTACTGATTCTTGCATCTTTGATTCTCAAAATTTCTGTTAAGACTCTATAAAGGAAGATAAAGTACAACTATCACACAATATCCAGATAAACTGGTTCTGTGGATAGTCTCTGTGAGAGATGAGCTGCTTTCTCTCTAAAGGGCAGAATCTGAACATCCCTGAAGCAGCATGTTGCCAGCCTCAAGGACACTACCTGAGATTCAGGGGAATGTGATCATTTTGGAAAGCACGGCCCCAAAACATGTACAGGTTGGAAAGAGGAGCGTGGATAGAATTTCAGTTTCAAATGTCCTCCTCAACACTATGCAGTGAATAAACTACATAACATTCCCGAAGTATGGGATAACTTTCAGCATGTGGGAAAATTCAGCAGTTATAATAACAAAAAGACCAGACCAAAAAAGGCAGGAAAGGAGGAAGGGGAAAGTGGGAAAAAAACATATATCATTCTTAGCAACAAATGAAGTCTCTCTTTAAAGTAGATGTTTGTGGTAACTATTATGATTTTATATTTGGGGCTATTACTGAGAAATAGTTTACATCTTTCTTATAAACACCTGAGAAAAAAGCTAATGTATGGTAGATATGGCATTACCCCAAACATTAAATGTTCTATAACCACAGTAGATAATCTGGGCAGGGGCCACAGGCAAAGGAACTAAAGCAGTCAAATGCACTCCACAGTCACACTGTTTTTTTTAGAAATGCTATTTCTTCCAATAAATAGCAGTGGAACAATGGTTGCCCTTTCCTCAATTGCAATTCTGAATCTTCATCTTATTCCCCAGTCACAAAGCATCCTGCTTGATGAAGTTCATGTCCTCAGTGATGTGTGAGTGGCAAAGGGGCCACTCAGGGAAAGCTGACAGTTCCCTGATCATATCTGTGGAGGGCTTACTGTGCTTCTATCCCGGACTGTGAAGTACTCATAACCCATACCAGTATAAGTCCCCAGTGATCTCTCAGTGTAAAGAGAACAAATTGAGCTTTTGCTTAAGTGAGAGAGGAGTGCCAAGTATTTGCCATGTCATATAGACATTTTTTTAAAAAAAATTAGCTCACAATTTTTGTGATCCATCATGAAAGTTAATTCAATTTTCTTTCTGCTTTACTATCAATTACACAAAATTATTGTTTTCCTCCTGAAATCCCTGTGATGAGCTAATAAGCCATCCTTAATACATAAAGTCAATATTTAAAGGCATACTCCATAGGAGTGTGACATAATGTCAAGTAAAAAGTCAAATACAAAATTTTCTCTGTGCTATAATTATGAGCATGTCAAATTACTTTTGCCTCTGAAGGAAAACATAAAATTTTAAATGTTACTATCATTAAGGGAGTATAACTGTGGGTTAACTATTTCTCATCATTAGTTCAATATTTTTGATATATGCATGAATGTATATAATTAATCTCTAATGTATATTTTTAATTTGCTTTGAAAGTTTTGATTTAAATATTAGAGATTTTGAACTATTACTATCACTTTGGGAGTAATATATTTTTAATGTGTATCTCAAAAGGACTGGGAGAAAGTATGCAATATGGGAAAAATGCTTTATAATTATTCTGAAAAAAATTGAATAATTTACATTTGCTTACTCTAAATATATTCATCTTTCAACAGAACTAAGATTACAAATGTGTTCTAAGAATATCATTACTGTAGTTTATGTCCAAAAAAAGACACAAAATCTTGTTCAATTGGTATTCCGTATCACCTGCTTCTGCATCACTTGATCCAACCAGTCAGTCAATCAGGGACTGACAATAGTACACTGCTGCTGATGTGTACTAAGCAATTAAGCCTGTGATAGGTCCATTGGCATTGAAAGAATATACACTGGTATTTTTCTTAACCATTTTGCCTCTAGACATGAAAAATTGAATTTGCCCAGTTTTGCTTGTGTAACTGTGTACAAGATCTATTTCTGTCTCAGTGCTTCTTTATAAAAATGGGATAATAAAACCCTTTTCATTGGGTTGCTTTGAGGTTTAAATGGAGAAAAATCAATAATTTAAATTCTTTCTTGCCTTTCCTTATTTCTTTTATTTCTTTCTTTTGTGTCATTGCACTATTTAATGTTTTCAGAAGCATATAGTGTAAGAGTGAAGATAAGTAATGGACATCCTTGTGTTACCTTTTTGTTTAGAGCAAAAGCCTTTAGTTATTGTCAAAATGGTATGATGTTGGCTTTGTCATACATGGTTTTTATCAGATTGGGATAAAGACCATCTATTCCAGTTTTATGTAGGTTTTGTTTTGTTTGTTATTTTTTTTTTCCACTAATAAATGTTGGGTTCTGTGAAATGCTTTTTCTGCATCTATTGAAATGGTCATGTGATTTTTGGTTTGGCTCTGTTGATGTGGTGTTAGATTTATTGATTTATATATGTCAAATCATCTCTGCATCGCTGGGATGAATCCTACTTGATGGTGGTATATAATCTTCTTAATGATTTGCTGCATTCTGTTTGACAAAGGATTTTTGCAACTATTATGTTCATTAGGGACATTGGTCTGTAGTTCTATTTGAGTTTAACCCTACTCTGGTGTTGGTATCAAAACCAGGTCCTTTATCTGAGGAACAGCTGATAATGTTTGCCTCTAGGAATGAGTTTGGAAGTATTGTTTCCTTTTCAGTTTCATTAAAGAGTTTGAGAAGTCATAGCATTGGTTCCTCTCTAAATTTCTTGTAGAATTCAATAGGTGTCGAACTTTGTTTTGCTGGTAGATTATCATTAGTTGTGAATGACATGATATTCTACAAAAAAAACCCAAAATCTCCCAAAAAACTTCTAAATTTAATAGCCAAATTTAGTGACATAGCTGCATATAAATAAACACTCAAAAAGCAATAGCATTTCTGTACAAAAATAACAAACTTGCTGAGAAAGAAATTAGGGAAACAACATCTTTCAAAATAGCATCTAAAAAAAGTAAAGTACCTTGGAATCAATCGAAGAAAAGAAGTAAAAGATCTTTACATTGAAATCTAAGTACTCTGAAAAAAGAATTGAAGAAGACAGCAAAATACAGAAAGACATTGCTTGTTCATGGGTATTGTCATGGTTTTTGTATGTATCCCCCAGGCCTCATGCGTTTGAATTGTGCATTTGTGATTGGTTCATTGCCTAGTGCTTGGATTGATGGTGTCGGTGCTCCACCCACATAGGGGTGGAGTCAGGATGTGATGTAATGGCAGGAAGAAGGTATGTCTCTCTTTTTGCTGGTTCAAGCTTCCTGTTTGCAGCCGCCATGAACTGTAGCCCAGCCATGCCAGCCTGCCTTGGAGTCAAGTGAGTGTGGACTGAAACCTCCAAAAACTGTAAGAAATAAACCTTTTCTTTCCCAACTTTGGGCTTCAGGTATTTTTGTCTCAGCGACGAGTAAAAAGTAACTAAGACAGGTATGTACAACCAATTTGAAAAAGAAAATGGACAACCAAACTTTTACACAGAATATGCAATCCCAATCAAAATACCAATAGTATACAAAACAGAATTAGATTTTTAAAAGTTCATAAAATTTATTTGGGAGCCTGAAAGGATCCAGAATAGCAAAATAGGTTATATGTAATAAAAACAAAGTAAGGGATATCACAATCCCTGACTTGAAATTATATAATGAAGTTACTGTGATAAAACAAAAAGAATGCTACTCTTAACTAAACAGATCTGAGAATTAATAGAGCAGATCAGAAGATGGATAAACAACTCCAAACCCACAGAACTACCTTATTCTTGATAAGGGGTCAAACACAATAACTGCAATAAAGATAGCCTCTGTAATAAATGGTGCTAGAAAAACTGGCCTCCCACCTGCTGAAGAGTAAAACTAGACTCATATCTTTCACCATGCACTAAACTAAAATCAAAACCAATCAAAGATGTAAATATTAAAAACATAATCTCTAATTTTCTGGAAGAGAGAATAGAAAAAAACTATTAAAGATACAGGTATAGGCAAAGATTTTATGGATCTCACAGGATGATTGAACAAATGCTTCAAAGAATCAACAGCTAGG